ATTTTCTCAAGCTAGCTGTTTTCTTTGAAATAATTCTGTGTAATAAATTCTCTGGAACTCTTTTGGACAAAATCTCTCCTTCATGCGATCAAGTAACTTATCAAAATCCTCTTGGACATCTTGATCTAAATCTTCGTAAAAATCAACTGCACGGCCTCTCAAATATGCAGGGAGCATATCAATTTTCCTCTCAGGTCTCCATTTGTTAGCACGACTTATCCTTTCAAATGTTTTGATTCAACTCTCGAAATCATCACCAACATCTCCATAGAATTTTGATGGCGTAACATGAGATTTTGACCCTGCTCTATCATTGGTAGCTTTGTTACAACGCACTTTGAAAAATTACGCACTTTGAAAAAAATTAAAATTATGGACCAAGCTAACGCACTTTGAAAAAAATGTAAAGATTGATCAATATTCCTTCAAATAATCGGTATGATAAATAACAGATCGTGGTTTGATAACTTTTTTTTATGAAAAAGTCACTGTAGGGCCTGAGATATTGACGTTTTAAATATATAAGGTTTTGATAAAATAAAAGGGAAAATTAAAGGAAATGAAAAAAACAGTGACGATTGTTTATGTTCATTGATTCGTTTCTTCTTATTTTTTAATTCAAGTCTTTGATAAGTAGATGTAAAGGTGTATACGGGGCATTAACAGAGGACAGCTTCAAGCAACTTAGCATTTATCATAATAATAAGGGGCCCATTTGATTGTTCAAAACTATGAAAATTCTTTCTCTCTCATACGTTTTACTGTACTGAAAATTTTCTAGTTTTAATCTGTTTTAATTAACTCATTTATTATAGGAAGTTTTCAAGGTCATACCAGTTAGGTAAATACATAATTATATGAATGCTTTGAGTATAGCATAGACATCGAGACTGGGCGAAGGGCCAGGGGAGGGATGGGGGGCTAAGCCCTCGACTTATTTTGGAAAGATATACACATCGTATAAGCATTGAAATGCAGCGTACCCTTTTTAGGTTTATTGCTCCCCTCCCCCGTTTGTTACCGACACCTATGTATTGGAAAGATAAAGATTTGGACTGAGGGATCTTTTACCCGTCTTCTCCTCTTTTCGACGGGAGTAAATCAATTCATTTTTGAGGTTAGGGTTAGGCTTAGTTTTTTTAAAGATAAATAACAAATGAAATCTTTCCATGACTAAAATATGATTTTTGTTTCAAAGTGCGTTAAGTGTCTCCATGGTAAAATATCTTGATGTAGTACGCACTTTGAAATTTTTTTTCAAAGTGCGTTGAGTAGGTCCAAAATTTAATGCACTTTGAAATTTTTTTCAAAGTGCGTTGATTTTGTCCCAATTTTAACGCACTTTGAAATTTTTTTTCAAAATGCGTTGCCACATAGCTTCTCGCTGACTGGTGAATTTTCCATTTCTATGTTTTCTCTGTGATAATTCTTTATTTTTCGCCGAGCAATAGGTCAGGAGTTATGTGCATGTAAACCTCGCGCGTCTGTCTTTGTGACTGACGTCAGTGGGTTGGGACTACTGAAATTTACATTGGAGATCTCGTGTTTTATTTCACAATGAAATAGAATGAAATATGTAGTAGTTACCCCATATCATACTGTTGGTTATGTGTAGATACCGGATGGGCGTGGTCATAATGACACGAGGGAGCGTAGCTCCCAAGTTGTCATTATGACCACGCCCATCCGGTATCTACACATAATCAACAGTGTGATATGGGGCAAATGACTTGTACCATAGTTTTCAAAAATCATTCATATGTAAGTCAGCTTAGGAATCGGTCGGACTGGTTCACGTGATTGAAATTATGACATAGTGTTTGGTTTCAAAGATGCATTTGGATTTTATATAATTCTACGCTCCTTCGTGTCCTTCTGACCACGTCCATCGAATATATGGTGAGATATATGGATACAATACTTTTCAAATTTTGCTACAAATTTTGCCCTATACTTGGCACCTAGGGTCATTGAGCAGTGAGGGATCTTCTTCATGTCAACACCTTCTGCGACACGGGACCTCTGTTTATATTTAATAGGTCTCCACGTCACACAGTGGGATTCAACTCCTTACTTCGTGACTCTAGGGCAGACGCTTTAACCACTGGGCCACGCAAGAGACATTCTAGGCCCGTTTAAAAAGTTTGATTTATGTAATTGAAAAAATAACGAGTCTGGTTTCAATGATATATGTTAATTTGATATGATATTTTTTCTCGTTAATTTCAATCGTCAAAATTACATACTAGTAGTCAAAATTTATTATGAACTTGGTTTTAGCTTAAATTTTTGTAAACCTGTTACAAACTTTAATTGCCGTGCACAGTGGTACGTTGCTTGAAATGTTTGTTAAGGGTTATGTATATTTCAATTTAATGAAAATTTGATCTTTGATCGGCTAGATCCGCAATCGAAAAGGTTATTTAAGTACAGTAGTGTACACTTGTTTTTACGTTAAGTATGCACCGTGTTTCCTTTGTTGGTTATTAACAGAACGATATATTGGAATCTACTAAGCTATGGTCACCCTGATCATTACACTATTTAAAAAAAAAATGTCTAAAAAATCAAGCGATTTCTGCAGTTTTTTTCTTCACTTTTAACTAAAGTTAAAGTATTAATGGCCGTCTTTAATTGTTATTTATTTCAAAATGCTGTATACAATTGATAATTGTTACTCCTTTTTACTATCCTGAATTTAGTATAACGAGCCCGTATGATTGTTGCATTTAAAAGCCGTGCATGAGGCCAAAATAAAAAATACCTTTATGCCTTCCTCTTTCATCATAACCGAAATGATTTGCTCAGTAAATGCTTATTTACCTTGTATTGAAGTAGCAAAAAACACACAAATACCTTTGTTTCCTCTTACGCGACCGACCCAATTAAATCGCGCCGACTGAAAAGACTTTTTTAAAAATATGATTTAAATATTTTTTTATTGTTAACTAAGTTTTATAAGATACAATTTCATCAAAATCAGTTTTTATCAGATAGTGATTTTCAAGCATTTGTTGGAAACAAAATGACATCCAGATGTGATTACAGGGCATTAGCTCTTCATGAAACGATGGCGATGTCTCAATCTTGTGCTTTTAGCTAATTGGAATTCTTCACTCTTGAAATAATTCGATAATAAGATTTACCATGTCTAGGCTAATTAAAAGTGTTTTGGAGGTGTCTTGGTGTCTCCATCTGAGTGGATAAATTTTTGTAAGGGACGTTAAACAACAAACAAACAAACCTAGCTGTCTTTGAATTTAAGGTACGTAATACATGGTAAGGCCCTCCTCATAGTAGATGAGGGGCCCACCTAGTGAACACATCATTCAATTTCACTGCATTTTATTTAATTTGAGTTTTGATCTAATAACCAGTTCATCTATGTTCCTGTTACTGTAAGCCATTATGGAACTATAGGAGATGTTGTAAATATGTCTGGATATTCATCCTGATCAATATAATTCAGATGTCGAACGTCCTTTCTTCATGCTTTTATTTAGTGGTTACATTTCGTCGCTATGACATTGTTCATGTTGTTTATAGCATTTTTATCATTTGTAGATTCGGTTTGGTTTAATTAAATATTGTTTACATACTCTTTCAAAATAGTTTTGAAATCATGATTCAGCTTCCTGTATTTTTCTTTTATTAGGCTCTTAAAGATTGTTTTTTTTCTTTGCTTTTAATCCCTTCGAGATTTGTTAGGACGTCATTTAAACATTTCCCAATTGCTCCAAATTTAGACGTACTAAGCACTTTTTTGCCATTAAGCAGAGGGGGATCTTTTTGAGCCAGCATCTTCTGTGACACTGGACATAAGTTTTATGGTCCCCTTTGAAGGACCGTTTTCCACGTTACTTATTGGGATTTGAACCTGAAATTTAAAATAAGCAACTTACTTCTAAACTCCAAGGCAAAATGCTCAAGAACCACTGCAAATCTCATGGCCCTAAAAAATGTACAATGATAGTCTATAAGCTCTGAAGGCTGATTGGAGACTTGATAAAAATATACTTCGCGTATGTCTGGTCTTTGCGTATTTGAGAATCTTGTCTAATTTATTCAATTTATATAAATTTAATGTAAGTTCAACTAAATAACAGTTGTGAATTTATTAATCACGAATTTTGCTTTAATTTTAAATGGCATATGTACGATACTTAGCGTTTTGTTCACAAATCGCTTTGTTTTGTACTTTTCTTATTTATAAACGTAATTGTCCATTAAATTTTAGAATTTATTCTCAAAGCTGCTGTCAGAAAATAAAATTGTTTACCTATCTACCGACCCAAATTGAGAATTTAGGGTCGGGTTAGGGGAAACAAAGATATTTTTAATTCCAGCCTGATCGTTTTATATTAGTTCTTTTGTCCCGACTCGATGGGCAGAGTTATAGAAAATCGTGGGTTATGTACAGAAAACCCACACTTTTAACAAAGGAAATCACACCTAACTATGATACAAATGGGGATATAGCGAACAGTTTTCAAGCGCTTTATAAAGAAACGTATACCATTTAACTAATAAAAATAATTCCTTACTAATATTTAATTTTCAATCATTAAGTATAAAAAACAAGACAATACATGTGTAACTCAAGTTCTAAAATTGTTCCTACTGCAAACGTAACGTCAAGCGGATTGAAACGTTTTTGACGCAAGTTATTGTGACGTAGGCAGGTTGTACATGTACTATTTAGATTAATTTTTTATCAAATCAAATGATGCATTACAACCAAAATTAAAATCATTCGAGGTTTTTTGCGATTGTAACCACTTGGGAAATTTTTTTACAAATATAAACCAAAAAATATGAAATTTCCTGATCGACAAATTATTTAAAATAGGCCTATCAATGTTAAATTTGTATTAGCAAAAATGAAAAAAAAGCTGAAATGTTCCTGACAATGCATGTTTAATCCTTTTTACATTTTTAATCAAAATGTGCTTTCATATATTTATCTATTGCGACCCAAACCGAAACTACATTTACCACAATGCATTTCGTCGACAAATAGGTTAGTCGGCAAACGCCCTTTCAAAGGTAAGGATTATGATGGCCGAAGGTACATGTAAAGAAAAAAATACAGTATACAGTTGTCCAGTTTGTTTGGAAAGAATTAACAGACCAACATGCCTCCCTTGTTTACATACTTTTTGTGAACAATGCCTGCAGACCTATATATCTAGGGCTGCCATTGGGAAAGATCTTGAGAAGTTTGATTTTGAATGCCCGTTATGCCGTCGAGTGACAGGTCGACCGGAACCAGGGATTTCCGTGGATGATTGGGCAAAGCATTTTCCTACCGACATATTGATCAACTCCATAATGGAATCGAATGATAAAGAAAAAGATAAATTATGTGCCATTTGTCTACGTGATAACAAGAAAAGTAAGGCGGAGTCCTGGTGCCACGACTGTGCAGAGGCTATATGTGCTTCCTGTAAGCATCTCCATCAAATAATTGCTTCACTTCGGAAACACAAAATTATAGCACTACCTCTTGATGGGAAAGACGATAAGCTTAATTTCCCAGAACTAGACGAACCCTGTCATTTGCATCAAGGCAAATATGTTGAAGTTTTTTGTTTGGATCACGAAACTCTTTGCTGCAGCGTCTGCTTTGCAACGCAGCATAGACACTGTGAACGTGTGGAAGCTTTGGACGAAGTTTCTAAAAATATGCCGAATTCAGCCGTGGAATGGAATATTGATGCTCTTTCAAAGCTCTCAAAGATTTTAGAAGAAACTGCAATTCACAAAGAAAATGAGATATTGCGCAACACTGCCAAAAAGGAAGAAATTCTGAAAAATGTATCCACAGAAATTGCAAACATCAAAACTAAACTTGATGACTTACAGCAACAGTTTGAAAAATCATTCCTGAAAAAGCATGAAGATATTGAAGAGAAAGTCAAACAATGCATTTTTGACATGAAGCAGTACCTTTTAACTGTCAAAAACGGAAGGGCCCTTCTATCTGCAGTTCAAAAAAGGGACTCAAGTAAGCAAACGTTTCTATGCTTATTAAAGATATTAAGAGATGTAGATGAACAATGTGAACATTTCAAAACCAGAAATGCAGAGGATGTAGAGTATGATTATGAACATGATCACACAACAATACTAAAACAGATTTACCAGCATGATAAAATAGACGAGGTAAAGTTTCCAGCAAGACCATCAGGGAATATTTGGACTTTTTCAAAGTATTTTTCAGCTTTTCCGATCTTTGGGAACATGGATAAAGACAATACTTCAGCAAGTTCTGAGAAATTCCAAAACCCACTATCTCTAAAAGCGGTGAAAAAATCCGAATTTAAACTCCCTACTCCAGCACAACAAGGAATATTTATAAACAATGAAACAATTGCAATGGTCTCTTCGTCAAATTCTCTGCAATTCTACAACCCCTCCCATGGAACATCAATGCCATGTAATCCTCCATTGGAAATGGCAGGAAAACCCATGTTAAGTTCTGGACCAACCAGAGAAACTCTGTACGTCAGCTGTCTGTCCAAAATTCGGAAGTTTAAGATAAAAATTGTGAAAAAATCTATCAATGCTACGTGTGTCAGAGAAATAGATTTGAAGCAAGATTTTTGCGTTTTTGGTGTAGATGAGGAACACAATAGAATCGTTACAGCATCCAAAACCCAGATGACTATCTTCTCCCTCTCCCCTGTTTTATCAGTTACTAACACGATCACCTTCCAGAATCCACAAAAGGGTCCTGTAATGGCTCTGTCGAGGACCTGCGACCGGCTTGCTATTCTGACAGGGAATAATGAGGTGGTTTGTTTCTCAATCAATGGGGAGGAAATATTTCGGTTTCAAAAGAAAGACATGGAAAACCTTCACTGTTTGTCATTCGATCCTCAGAATAATGTATATACATTATATTGGAAATATCCCAGCTGCAAAAAATTTACGTTGCAGCATGGTTGTTTATATGGAGCAAAGAATTATTATTTATCTGAAAACTGCGCTACTTGTAACGGTTGTGGACATAAAACTCTTGGTAATTGTCAATCATGTGGAGGACCAGCAAAAGCACATCATCAATATGGCGCAGTTCTTCAAATTTTGCACGACGGTAGTAGTAGTCAATCTTTTAAATCAGATTGTCTCCAAAGCAGTTTCATGTTTTTCAGTCAATCTTATGAAGAATTTTTCATTGCTGATGGAAAGAAGTGTATTGTCTACACGTTTCATAGCTGATATTTTTTTCTTTAAACTACATTTGTTCATATGAACTGTGAATTTAATTATATAGTGATCTTTATCATTTGATTTTACTACGTGTATTTGCACATTCTATTTGGGAAAAAACACTTTCAAACTACATTATCACATTTTGAATTGTAGTAGATAAAAATTAATTTGTCTTTTTTTAAATTTTAAAGTCCGTCTGTCTGTTTGTAAACTCTTCACATTTTTGACTCATTCTCCAGAACCACTGGGCGATCTTCTTCTCAAGAACTCTCGTGCCAGTCGTATCAGGAAAAATGAAACTTATATGGGAGCCTCTTCGGAAAGTCTTCGGGTATGGTAGATTCATGTTTGTTACATCATGACCCCTGGGGGTATGGCGGGGCCACATGGCTGATCAAAATTTAACATAGAAATATGTAGAAACATTCTTTAAAAATCCTCTTCTCAAGAATAGCTAAGTCATGATTTATCATATTTATATGGAAGCATCCTCAGTTAATGTAGATTCAAGGTTGTTCAAATCATGACCCCCGGGAGTAGGGTAGGCCACAATGGCTGTTTAAAGTTTTCCATAAAAATATGTAGAAAAATTCTTTAAAAATCTTCTCAAGAATAGCAAAGCCATGGTTGATCATATTTATATTGAAGGATCCCCAGGTAGTCTAGATTAAGTTTGTACAAATCTTGACTTTTGGGGATAGGACGGGGCCACAACAGGAAACCAAGTTTTCCATAGAAAGTAGGATAATTCTTGAAAAATCTTTTCAAAAATGGCAAAGCCATGATGTCACATTCATATGAAGCATTCTCAGGTAGTGTAGATTCAGATTTGTTCAAATCATGACCCCTAGGGGTAGAGTGGGACCACAACAGGAAATCTTAGCTTTACATAGGAATATATAATTTAAAAAATCTTCTCAAGAATGGCAAAGCCATGTTTAGTCATAAGTATATGGAAGCATTCTCAGGTAGTGTAGATTTAAGTTTGTTCAAGTCATGACTCTTGTGGGAAGGGCGGGGCCACAATATAAGTTCAAATGTAAAGATCAATAAAGCCACAGGTTGTCAAAGAAATATGCAAGCATCCTCAGTTTGTGTAGATTCAAGTTTGTTCAAATCATACCCTCTCCCCTTTCAGGATTGGTTGAGACCACTTTTGGGTTCAAAGGTTTTAATGATAAACTGATTTCTGCTTTTTTTCCCTAGCCACAGTGCTCAGGTGAGCTATGTTGCCCATGGGCCTCTTTTTTTAATTTTTAAATTAGAAAAAATTATAAAATAAACTTAATACTGTCCTTAATACTTATTAATTTATCATATGTACTAGGAACACGTGCTTTTGTTTATTATGTGCTAATAATAGCGACAGTAGCTATTGGTCAGTATTTAAAGGTCGATACCTGTAAAACGGATGAACAGGTATTCACTTTAATCACGATTTTAACTCATTCGAAGGCTTTGCTTTGCCACATTCACACCCACCCACCCACCCACTTACTTACTTCAACCTTTTACTAGTATTTTGTTTAATAAAGAAAGTAATTGTTTTCATTTCAAGAAAATTAAAAGTTTTTTACACAACAGATTAATTGTCAAAGATGGGAAACAATTTGCTTAGTCGCTCTAGATAATTTTATGTAAAATTTGATATAAATGTAAGATTGTTGTGTAAGGGTACATATTAGCTACATATAGTCGAAATGTGTTTACAGATAGTTCTAACTTACATTCATTTTGCATAGGTTTTACTTAAACTAGTCGATTAATTGTACATTATAATATATGATACATACGTAAGTTTGTGAGAATGAGTCCGCCATTCATTCTGTTTACCTCGCAATTGCTGCGGACTTACAGGTTTCCATAGTTTTTTCAACATAAATCGATGTTGTTTTTTTTATCTATAAGAGAAAAAATACCAGCGCACTCTCTGGTCTATTAAATGAAACATGTCTTTTAATCCCCAGAAACAGGTCTATTATTAAGTAGTTGCATATTTTAGATCAGAGGTTGGACTCTATATTAAATATAGAAAAATAGCTTTAAAAATTGGCCGTTTTGCAGACTTTTTTCAGAATATGAGGAAATTGATGCATTCTGTGACCTCATAATACATTGACTAGCCAGAAAATTACGTCATTTTTGATAAATACGCAGTTATAAAAGATTTATGAGTGATATTCAATGCATTGTAAGCAAAACTATGCAGTTTCAGTTTTTCAGGTATTCACAAGGCCAAATAAGGCAAAAGTGAACCTTGTTCTTTATTTACAGAAGAGAGGAAATATTCTGTATACTGGCATGTATGTACAATAAACGACACAATAATTTAACTACAATCTACAGAAAGTTTGGAATTTTCATTTTATTGGCAACAAAGATTTAACATTTTTGGTCTACCAGAGCAAAACATGGACTTATGGGATTCGGAGGTATCAGTTAGTGAGCTCGGTGCTCACAGTACCTTTTTTAATGCGTTAATTCATTTGTAGATCAATAATAATTTCAAGAAATCTTTTCTTCAGTAGCCTTCTTAATCATTTGTACAGGTTAAGTTTTCTCTTAATTATTATCTAGGTCTCCTCCGGGGGGCATCAGTGTCTCCTCTAGGAGTATCAATCACAAACTGACAGCGACTTCCCATTTGTGCAACCAACTAAAGTTCTGATACACTGTTGAGGATATTGTTCCACTCCTCTTGCAACACACGAGCCAAGGCCTGTGGCTGTGGTTGTCAAAAAACTGTTTCCAAAAACTCAAGTTGACTGAAAATCAAAATGTTGCTCATCATGCAGCGCTTGATGTTCGGGCGACATTGCCCAACTTAAAACTATTTGAACTTTTAGACTTCGGTGATAAGGGAGAAGTCGTTAAAATATCATTTTCTTCATTACATAGTTGTTCATTCAAAATGTTTGTTATTAACAACTTAATTCCTACATTTCAAAATTATTTGCACTCATTAAGAATCAGTTAATAATAAATATTTTATCTTACTAGGTAAAGAAACTTGAATTATGAGTTTATTGCTTTATAATGTTTCCTTTTATTCTTGATAAAGTTTGCTACAAGACTTTTTAGTCTTGGGATTTTGGATTTCTCGGGTTTGATGAAAAAGGCATTGAATGTCTATTGCTAGATGTTAATAAGTAATTAAACAAAATCACAAATAATCATTCGATAAAGTTTTGAACATTAGATTTGAATATAGAAAATTTTTTAAATGGTTTGAAAAAAAAATCACATGTTTGCCTATGTTTTCAGATCAATTAATTTACAAACAATAAAATATTTTTAAAAAAAACTTTCGTTTAAAAGTAATAAATTTTGGGCAACATTCAAATATAATTTTATTAAAATTTTTTGATAACTCGAACATGAAGAACGTGGAAAAGATTATTTATAACCCCTTTATACATTGTTGACGGAAAGACTGACAAATTTAAAAGATGCAATCATTTTTTGTTCCGATGTGCCACCATTATTTCTGAACCGAAACTGTAACCTTGAATCGTTAAAGTCAATATGGCGGAGGGTACACCTAAAATTGATCCCACTATTTACAGTTGTCCGATTTGTTTGGAAAAGATTATCAGACCAAAACGCTTGCCTTGTTCTCATACTTTTTGTGAAAAATGCCTGCAGACTTTTATATCTAGGGCTGCAATTGGAGAAGATCCAGAGAAGTTTGACTTTGAATGCCCTGTGTGTCGTCGAGTTACAAATCGACCGGAACCATGGATCGATGTGGACGAATGGGCTAAATATTTTCCAACCAACATATTGGTCAACTCACTGACAAGTTTAAGTGCGGAAAAATTTGAGGAAAAATTGTGTGCCATTTGTTTGCGAGACGACAAAAAAAATAAGGCGGAGTCATGGTGTTATGACTGTGCAGAGGCTATTTGTGTTTCTTGTAAACGTCTTCATCAAATTATCGGATCTCTTCAAAATCACAAAATCTCGGCACTAAGTTTTGAAGGCAAAGATGACAAGTTTACTTTTCCGGAATTAGATGAACCTTGTCATTTGCATGAAGGTAAATGTGTTGAAGTTTGTTGCTTGGATCATGAAAAACTTTGTTGCTGTTTGTGTGTTTCAACACAGCACAGGCAATGTGAACAGGTAGGAACTGTGTCTGATGTTGCTAAAATAATACCAAAAGAAGTCGTGGAGTCGAACTTAGAAGTTCTGTCTGCAATATCAAAGATAACAAAGGAAGTTTTAAAGCACAAAGAAAAAACAATTACGCTCCTTAGTGCTCAAAAGGAAGATATCCTAAAAAAAAATTTCCAACGAAATTGCAAAAATTAAAACTAGACTCGACGAACTGGAGCAACAATTTCGAAAAACTTTCATGAAAAAGCATGTCGATTGAAGATATAGAAGAGGAGATGAAGCAGTGTGTCTTAGATATAAAACAATACCTCCTGATAGTCAATAATGGAGAAGCACTTCTTTCTGCAGTTAAAGATAAAGGTACCTCAACACAAATATTTCTCTCTTCCGTGAAAATTAAAAGAGATATCGAAGACCAGTTTAATCAACTCAAGATCAGAAATCCCGAAGACAAAGAATATGATTATAAACATGATCATACGACAATATTAAAACAATTTCGTGAACATGATAAGATCGATGATTTTAGGGTCATTGTAAAACCGACAGCCACTCTCTGGAATTTGTCATTGCTTATGTCATCATTTCAGATATTTGAAAAAGTTGGAAAGATACAGCCATCGATGGTTTTTGAAAATTTGTCCGAATCCGAGGCACTGAATATTGAGAAAAAAGGAGAGTTTGAACTACCGTTTCTTGCAGAGCAGAGCGTGTTTATAGATAATGACACCTTGGCATTTGCTTCATCGTCGAACGTTCTATCATTCCATAATCTTGATGGTTCGTTATAATTATGTGTTTCGTCTTTGGAATTAAAAGGACAACCTTATCTATGGTCAGGGTCAACACAAAATGTTTTGTACGTTGGATGTCATTCTACAATACAGAAATTACAGATAAGGAAGAAGTACGATACTATAAATTTTATTTGTAACGGAGAGGTTGACTTAAAGCAGGAGTTTGATATGTTTAGTGTTGACGAAACACAAAATAGAATTATCATCGCATCTCAGAGCAATGTAGTGATCTTTGCCCTTTCTCCCGCTTTGTCAGTAATTCATACTATCCCACCCCTGCGAGACGATCATGAATAATTCATGAATTTCCTTGAATTTTTCATGAATTTTATTCATGAAATCTTCATGAAATGTTCATGAAGATCCTATGAACTTATTATTGGACATTTTCAAATCATGAATTTTTATTCATGAAAGAAAATTGATGAATATTCATGAATTTTTTTTTCATGAATAATTCATGAACAGTCATATTCATGAAGATTCATCATTTCAAGAATGTCCAATAATAAGTTCATTGCATCTTCATGAACTATTCATGAATAATTTGATGAATTTTTTCAGGAATGTTCATGAATGAATAAAATTCATGAACCATTAGCATTCATGAATATTCTTGCTTAAATTTGTAAACAAAAAATCCAATATTATTATTCATGTTTATTCATGAAAATGCATGAAGTCATGCTAAAAAAGTAACAGTAGATGATTTATAATACAGCATCTTGAAATATTTCACAGAAATGTTGTTTGTTTTCCAACCATGGCAACAAAATCTTTGTCAAAAAACTTAAAATAGACAATTCTGACACATTAAACCATAGTAAATGAGTAATGTAGTTCATTCCTGGTAAAAGTATAAAAAATTTCAATTCAAATGCAACTCCTTGCAGAATGTTTAACCTTACTTGGTCAAAAGGAGAGGGGGGTCCTTCCTCAGCATATTTCAAATTGTGTTTTAATGCCAGAAATTGAACAATTTTTAATTCCAGTCTAGGAGAAAAGTTTGTTCAGCACCAGGGTAACAGCTTTCAAGCAGTTCTTATAGCAGAGATGGTCAATTCAAAAATCCTTATTGTCTCTCCATGTGGAATTTCCAGAATTTCATCATTTGGATCCTTTGATTGAATATCATTCATATTTTCAATTCTTTTTTTCTTTCTTTTTCAAGAGCTCAGATTTTTTTTTGCAGCCAGAGTTTCTTGTCTTCTGCTCATCAACATTTGTGAACTGCTTCTCGATCTTTTTCCTTCAAAAAGAAAGATTTTCTGAAATTACCCATGATTGTAAAACATAAGACTTTTTTGTGTATTTTCTTGCATTTTAATTTTGCATCAGAGGCACTTCCAAATTAAAACATTCTGAATGGAATTTAAGCCTATTTTATTGGACCGCCATTTTGTAGATCAATCAGGCCTATGAATGTTTAGAGTCTCAGTCTATAATTGATGTATGTTATATGGTTGGATCCAAACTCAAAGCAAAGTTAGACAAAACTTTCATTTAAAAAAAAGACATATTTATTAATTTTACAAATAGACAGTAACATTTACAGAAAGATTTCTGACTCAGTGATTGCCTCCATTTTTTGTCACTCACCAGTTATGAAGTAGATCAATCCTATATATAGTCTTGATAAATAGTACTTTGAAATACCGCTCAAAAGTACAGTAAATAAGAATCCAGTTTTTTTTTAAACTCGATCTTCGTAAATCTGCAATGTAAGTGATTAAATTCGTTGTTGCTTTGTTATTTGTTAATGGAAATAAAAAGTTAATGCATTTATTTAAAAAAAAAGTTGCAGAGCTAAGAAATACGTTAGTTTCGAATTTCCAAGATTTCTGTTTAAAAAAATAACAAACACTATCTGAATAATTTTTCACTGAAAATACAATTTTTTTTTATATCAAAACAAGTTTTATCAATGAAGAATTCAAACTTTTTACGTCATCAATCATCAATGAAATTGGACTAATATTACAATAACATCGGGATCGAAGTCGGGCTCGATGAGCAATTAATTTTAACGACACCGAAATTCAAAAATATCGAATACCATGTTGATGTTCCACAGTAGGAAAGTTGGAATGAGTGTCACGAACAGGGGGATCATGGTCAGCTTGGGATGGAAGAAGATGACGACATTTTTAAGACCGGTAGGTACAATATTGTACAGTATTTTATGTGTCCTCGAACGAAGAATGTTTCTGCTACTTTTGATTAATCCGGGCACCATACATAAAATGCCCGACGGTGAAATCGTTAGGACAAGCACTATTTCTGTAATCATTATTTAACAAATCTATACATATCATTAAGGTCATTGATTTTCACCCGAATTTCCTTGCTTGGAATCGAACTGATGTAAAGAATTTTACCTGTACCTTCCTTTGTTCAAGATAACATTTACAGAGTATGATGTACATGTAATTAATTATATATTTTGTAATGCATGTTCATGACCATTTTCAGCTCTTATCTTGCATGTTTCGATTGTTTTAATAGTTGCTGCATTGCCTGAGATGATTTTCACAGCCCTGGCCTTTGATAAAAGTGCATATACATGAAGATGCTTAACCAATCAGTCACTAGGCTTGTGAATATGGTGAGAACCAGCTCAAATTATCATTCAAAGCAAATAAACTAACTTTGATTTTATTAATCTATGTCTTTAAGCATAAGATTAAAATAAATATTGCAACTATGCCAAGTAAACAACATTTAAAGATTTATATTCTTAACATGCCTAATTTCCATATCCTTATTATTTTTAACAATGAATTCTGAAAGGTAATCTAAACATGCTAACAGCATGGGTATGTATAATTATTTTGGATCAAATTTAATCAAAGATATCATCTTCTATGAAGTATACATGCATTTTACAGGAATCCGGATGCTCACAAGAGTTAGGACAAGAACTGTATAAAAAAAAAATGGTAAGATGTCTTCATTATTTTCTTAATCAATAAAATCACATGAATTGAAATTAATTTTTTTCAATGTTAGTCAGGCATTGAGCTTCAGCTCTAGCCTTTTCATTTAAGCTCACCTGAGCCATTTTAAGGCCTAAGTGAGTTTTTAGCTCACCTGAGCCGAAGGCTCAAGTGAGCTTTTCTGATCACATTTTGTCCGTCGTCCGTCTGTCTGTCCGTCTGTAAACTTTTCACATTTTCGACTTCTTCTCAAGAACCACTGGGCCAATTTTAACCAAACTTGGTATAAAGCATCCTTGGGTGAAGGGAAATTTAAATTGTTAAAATGAAGGGACATATCCCCTCGCAAGGGGAGATAATCAAGAAAAGAGAAAAATAGGGTTGGGTCATTAAAAAATCTTCTTCTCAAGAACCAATGGGCCAGTAAAGCTGAAACTTATGTGGAAGCATTCTGGGGTAGTGTAGATTCTAAATTGTTCAAATCATGACCCCCGGGGGAAGGGCGGGGCCACAATGGGGAATCAAAGTTTTACATAGAAATATATAGGAAAAATCTTTGAAAATCTTCTTCTCAAGAACCACTGGGCCAGTAAAGCTGAAACTTATGTGGAAGCATCCTGGTATAGTGTAGATTCTAAATTGTTCACATCATGACCCCCGGGAGAAGGGCGGGGCCACAATGGGGAATCCAAGTTTTACATAGAAATATATAGGAAAAATCTTTGAAAATCTTCTTCTCAAGAACCACTGGGCCAGAAAAGCTGAAACTTATGTGGTAGCATCCTGGTATAATGTAGATTCTAAATTGTTCAAATCATGACCCCCGGGGGAAGGGCGGGGCCACAATGGGGAATCAAAGTTTTATATAGAAATATATAGGAAAAATCTTTGAAAATCTTCTTCTCAAGAACCACTGGGCCAGAAAAGCTGAAACTTATGTGGAAGCATCCTGGTGTAGTGTAGATTCTAAATTGTTCAAATCATGACCCCCGGGGGAAGGGCGGGGCCACAATGGGGAATCAAAGTTTTATATAGAAATACAGTACAGGCAACGCGGATCCCGTATTAGACCGCGTCCCCTCCGCGGTGTATTAATCCTTTCCGCGTTACACCGTCGCGGGTTTTGATCGCGGTGCTACCTGAGACCGTGTTAACACCGCGGCGGGGCCCGCTACCGTTATTCTTCAGCTTAGATGTTCTTACCTGTAAAGTATTGTCGATTTTTAAACGTGTCGAAATGGGGGGGGGGGGGGGTTACGACTACATTAATATTAATAGATTTATACCATTACATGGATTCTTTAAAAATTCATTTTTAAGTTTTATCAAATTGTTTAATAAAAAACATTTTTTTTTTACCAATGGTCACTCAAAATTAATTAATTCTCAAAAACGTCTGTTAACAGTAATACAATATAGGATGAAATAAAGTCGAATAATTTATCGAATATATGAACTTAAAGTTTATTTTCAAAATCAATAATGCAACCCCAAATGATCTTCAAATTGCTAAAAAGGTATAGAACGCCGTGATATCGCTTCTCTTTGTATGCACTGTAATCCGGTGTTCACAATTAGCCCGTGCAGTTGCAGTTACATGTAGCTCTGTGTTTATTTATCTGCGAGATTATATCAGTCATTTGGTTTCATTTAGAAAAGTACCGTTACTTCTGTAATAAATAATAGCATGAAAAACGATGATAGATAGTGATACATAATTACAATTAAATTTTAACAAAACACGCCTAAGTGTAGGAATACCGTTGCTCCATTATTATATGCTACATTGTAAGACTATGAACTAAATATCGACGATTTTTTTTTTTTTTTGGGGGGGGGGTCTTGTTAATAAAATAATCACAGGTATTTCTATTCAGAATATCAATAATATCATAGCTAGTATTTGAATGTATTTCTATTTTCTGCTCTTTTCGAAAATTACTAAAATCATGTTTATGAACATAAACAATTTTCAGATTTCTCCGGTTCAAATAAAACACAAACACAAATATGGGCCCTTAAAATATTTGAACACACAACACAGAAATTAACTTATTTTAATCAGCAAGTTGCCAAGCTTCAAGTTTACAGATGTCTGTGTTACCGTTCGGTTTTCCTCAGGTAAGTTTGGTGTGGAGTGGAGCTTACTCGAAGCGGATGAGAAGCCCCGAGGGAACGACGCTGTCTAGTGTACATACTACCTATATACACAGGATGTTACCTGAGTGTATTACCTGTATGCGTTTTCCTAAGACATTGTAAAACGAAGCCGTTTTTTTTTTCATGTGTAACTCATGAATTGAAATGCATGAAATAAAGAATGTTTT